TTTTTGGTCTAGTGATATTCGTATCATATGTAGAATTGCTGTATAGACTCGCAAGTGATTTGGCACTCAAAACGAAGTATTATTCAACGCTTTTTTCCATTTGAAGCCTTTCAGAAATAGCTTTATTTTTAAAAAAAGCATGGTCAATTTTTGTTTTGTTTTGATCATGCAGTTGCGTGGGATAGTTCACTTACTTGTCCCACGAACATCCCGCACGGAACTGTAGGGAGTCTCCTTAAGGGCAGATTAGAGTACAGAAATTGTTATAAAGTACACCCCAGACACAGGCGCGATAAAGTTTCTGCCTTGAAAAAATCGAATGCGAAATGTGCATGACGAACTCCGCCGCTTTAATTTCATTTTTTTGTATTTGAAATTTCGCCCATTCATATATTTACAAGAATGGTGTACAAGAAGGAGAGTAATTTGATATGCCTTGCACTGGAAATTGTTTTCAATATCCTTACTATGGAAATAATATGAAACTTAGTCGAAAATAGTATGGAAATCCAATTTTCATATTTATTATACAGTATACATGACAACATTACTGCAATCTGATTAGTTAAGAGGAGTGCGATCATTTCATTAATTATTTCTCTTCGGTAATCAGTGGAAAATACTGCAATTTCATTGGTTCACAGGAGTGCGATTTGAGCATTAATCACACCTTTCCTGAGCTGTAATCGCACTCTTGTCTACAGCCAATTAAAATAGTCTAGTTTTACAACTAGCCAATCAGCATTTAGGATACATGAATTTTGTTTTCTTTATTGCTGTAAAAAATTTCAAAATGGAGGAATTCACAAATTTTGAAAATTTTGACCTTTTAATTCTTAAATTATATATTTTCTGACGAAAATGATCTACTTGTTCTTCCAGCAGAAGACACCGAACTAGACACAACCAGCGGTTATATTTGACTCAGATTCAGATTACACTGAACTAAAGAACTTCACTATTTTGAACACGTTATAAACCTAATTGTGTGTTGAACAATTCAAACAATGTTAATATATTATTAACTTCCGGGTATTATTTCCGGTACAATCACATGACAATGTGATTATACCGGAAATAATACCCGGAAGTTAATAATATGTTAATTTGATTGTGATAAATTTAATTCAAAATTGTACTATTTCACTAAGAATTGTCGTGACAAAAATTTAATAATTATATTGAATTTCAACAAATTGTATTTTTGTGCTTTTCCCCCTTAACCAGTTTAATTACAGAAGATATATAAATAATCAGCTACTTGTTGAATAGCAATGTATCGATCAAAAATTTATTCATACAACTAAACCAACGTCTCAATAATTGCAAACCTACTTCAAAGAATTAGGTTTGCAAGAATTTCTGTTTAGAATTTCCCGTCATGCATATAATAAATAAATAATCCGGCGGCTCGTGCAATTTTAGCACATTTTTCAAATATCACTCGTAGTGTTAATCATTAATTGCGCTCCTTCCCGTGTGATTACCTATACTTATTATTAGCAAGACAAAATTACTGGATTCTGATTGGTGGAGAGGAGTAAAATTATTTCATTAATTGTACTGCAGTACAATTAATGATTTTCCCAAAACAAACAAAATGGTGGAAAGGTATTTTGAATACAAATGTGAAATGAAATTGCCGCAGAAGAACTGCATGAAAATACGAACAAAAGCACCAAATTTTGCTTTAACAAAAGAACTAAATGAAAATACAAACAAAAGCACGAAATTTTGGTTGAAAGTCTGGCAGAACTGGACTTTGGAGAGAGAATATGATGTTGACATTGAGAAGTATCCAATTTTGTGATGCTAATAATAAACAAGTAATCATGCTATGTTGCTCGTACAATTATGGATTAATAGTATACGAGTGATGTTTGGAAATTTTGCCACAATTGGACGAGCCGCGCCCATCCCATGATTACCTATACTAATTGCAATTTCCATACTAAGGATTTATGAATATCTCTTTCCAATGTAGAGGTCTACTTGAGAAACCTAAAAGGCTTTTGTAGTGAGACCCCTAGTTGTTATTAAACTGTTAGTAAGTGCTAAAAAGTCAAATATTATAAAAATGGGTACGCAGCACGTTCATGTGTTAGTCTCAAAAAGCTTACATGGAAAGATTGCACACAACAAGGCAGAAACCGCAAGATGTTTCAGCAAAATAGAGTTGACAAGCATATATACTATTAATATTACATCATCTACATTGTAACTAGAAGTTACTATCCCAAGCAAAATGATGACTTCGATGTATTGAAATAAGTCACGGTGCATAATTCACCATTTTCTAGAGGTGGATTATAGTTAACTGTAAACGAAAAGTTGTTCAAGAAGAAATAATAATCTTCTTGAACTACCAGATCTTCTCTACGACATTTGAGTTCTGTTAACCAGCATTTGAAATTAGTACACAGCGGCGTTTAAACTGGCTATGAAATATCCTGAATACTTCGTCGAGTTCTCTACCGCCATGTGACCTTGTAGTTTAATGTGGCACGCGTCTTTGAAAGGACTTTACTTGGCTTTAATGGACATGTAAGGTATAACTTACGTTAGCCAACATTTCTTTGTAATGCAAGCTACATTTTCATATCTTTAATGTGTGAATATTTTTAATTTTGTAAAAAATTAAGCGCAATATGTTGTTCGAGTGCTTCATAATAACGCTCAGGTCTTGTATACAGATATTCGTATTTTATTCAAAATTTCTTTTATTCTTTTATGTTAAAGTATACATAATCCTTGACTTCATAATACGATGATCTACTCGATGAAAATTGGGCAAAGAGGAGATCTTGGCAGAGAAACTTGACCATTCGGTGAAATCGGTAGTTCAGAGACCCTATTTTAATTGTAGTACTTCGTGACAATTTGTTGGCCGATTTCTAGTTTATATTGTAGGACTGGTTCCTAGCGAATTAAATTAATTGTCTATTTTCTAACGAGAGGTAATAAGCGCGATTCCTTTTGTTGATGGATGTTGAAATCATTTTAGACTTTTCTTCATATACAACAAGTACACTACGGAGTATTGAATCACTGTTTGAAAAGAAACTAGCCTATATTACCTCCATAATTTCAGCTTATTTTTAAAGTCCAATAGTTTCTCCATGGATAAAAGTAGTTTTTATGGAGTCAAAAATAGGGGAAGTACGAATTTAAAGAAGATCAATTTGCACTTGTATATCTCACTTCGAAAAAGATATACATATAAAACAGGTATATTTGGACGGCAAAATTAAACTGCTGCAACAAAGTTTTTATTTCCACTTTCACGTTCTTATTCCAAAGCAAACACTTCTAAGTCGGAAATGCCTAAAATTGTGAGCGTAGAAACACTAAGAAACAAGAAAACAACTTCATAACACGAGTAGTTTTGGCAAATTTGGTGTTTGTTTCTAGAATTCAGTCACGCGATCAACCCGCGCTCACATGTGTTCCACGCTTACGTTTCTCACGCATGCGTAGACGGAAGTCCCCTCTGTTCTGCTTATCAATGTAACTTGTGCTTACGATATTTCAAATTTCCGATAATCATGGAAAAAACATTCACTTGGGTACCTGTAAAAAACGATTTCAAGGTTTACAGCCAACTTAATCACAACCAGCTTAGCAGATTCTAGACCAAGTTATGTGAATGTTAATACTGATGCTGAGATGCAGCCGGCATCATCTCCTAGTCCTAACGTATGGGGAACTCATACAAAACAGGATGTTTGCCATATAATAGATGCAATTTATGACTAAATTGTATTTTGGAGAAGGAACTTATTCATGTTATCAAGTGGAGCTGTAGGAAAGAAATTTGTCATTGAAACAACCAAATAGATTAAGTATTGGAACCATGATGCCGTCTATTTCAAAGACATCGCTTTAAAAGTTCTTATGGTAATGCCAGCTTACTTCTCCAAAAGCCAACATTTAAGTCAACATCTAAGGAACACTCGCAGTGCCTAACAAGGCGCTTGAAGCAATGGAAATCTGGTGAATTTGATGGCCTGCTGTGTGAAACTCGTACAATTAAGGCCGTAGCCAGGGGGTGCATATTCATATATTCGTGTTTTGCCCTACGGATTTCTTTTGAAAGCAATTGCTTTTACCGTATGTGAACATGAATATACGAATATATACCCCCAATTATCGCGTCTAGCTACTGCCCTGTGTACAATTCAAGGAAAATTGCCAACTTATAATTCAAAGCTTTTGAATGATGAACGTTTAGCCAAAACCTTCTCCAAACGTATGTTTGAAGGAAAGGTAAATGTAGCAATGAAGCTTTTGAATCAACATGATACCACTGGTGTAGTTATATCATCCCAAAGCACAATAAATGAATTGAAACGAAAACACCTAAATGCAAATGACGCTGACCCTTCAATTCTCATTGCATGGCCCATTATACCTTTTGTGGATTCTGTCATGTTTCAACATATAACACTATTATGAAATTAGCTTTGCGCACAAGAGGGTCAAGTGAGCCGTCCGGTTTAGACGCAGATGGATGGAGAAGAATTTTGCACGAAAAGTTAGTACCATCGAAATCGAAGTTAAAGTTGAAAATGGGAGAGGCTACACTAACCTAAAAGCTTACAAAGCATGTCGCCTAATTCCATTAGATAAGAATCCTGGTGTCAGACCTTTTGGTGTTGGGGAGGTGCTGAGGAGAATTGTTGGGAAAGTCATACTATCAGTCATTAAGCCCGAGGTTATGAGCAGTGCTAGAAAGCTACAACTCTGCGCTGGCCCAGCAGTTGGATGTGAGGCTGCTGTACATGCAATCGGTGTGATTTTGACGAACAGCTAGTCTACGGATGCATTACTCCTTGTTGATGCAGATAACGATTTTAACTGCCTCAATCGGAAGGTCCTGTTTCATAACATCAGATATCAATGCCCACCGATATGTGCATTTACGTTAGGAATTGTTATAGCACACCATCTCGTCTATTTGTTCTCGGAGGCGATGAAATCTTATTATTTGAATAAACCACACAAGTTGATCCTTTTGCAATGTCTGTGTATGCTATAGGCATTTCGCCTTTGTTAGAAGTTATCAAACCTAGCACATCGGATGATTATAGAGTGAAGCATGCAGCATTTGCTGATAATTTGGGTGGTGGGGGTGAGCTATGGCATCTTCGAAGATGGTTGGATAATATTGGATAATCTTTGGTCCAAGGTTGGGATATTATCCTAATGGATCAAAGTTGTGGCTGGTCGTAAAGCTAATAAAAGAAGAGAAAGCACGACAAATATTCAGAGATACTAACATTGAAGTTACCACAGGGGAATAAACTTGGAGGATACATTGAAAGCGAGAGTGGTCAATCAATGTATTCTGCAGAATTAGTAAAAGAATGTGCTGAAGAATCATTGGGCTATTAAAACTGCCAATAAATTCATGAAATCATATTGTTTCAATGCCTCTATATCGAACACTAAACAGCAGATGTAAATATAAATGCCTTCATGTATATCACCAGAAAGAAAGAAAGAAAGAAATAAAGCTATCCTTACCTAAATTATTTAAATTATTGTCGATCGTTTGCATAAAGAACTGACCAAATAGCGACGTATAAATACGTACTGTACTGTAGATTTATAATAAGAAACAAACAATCATCGAGTGCTCGGCCTGACGACAATTTCCGAAATTTTTCATCTTACTGACATCTCACTTTTCGGATATATGAATGTGTTAGTCGCTGTCCGCGACTAACACGAAAATGATGTAACGTACACCAATAAACATCCAAAATTACAATATATTTGTTATATTCTATGTAGCAGTAGTTGTCATTAAGTATTTCTTGACATTCTTATTGAAAACAATGAAAGATTTGACTGTTTTTATATCCGTTTCAAATCATTCCAAATATCAATCCTTGGTAAGGGAATGTTTAACATAGTTTAGCACATGAAGTTTGAAATCATTTCTTGTTTTATTAATTTATTTAATAACTATTAAACTAATTTAAAAAATTGAACTTGTTTATCTCGAACTTTTTTTCTTAATTTTCCCCTTGGCTGTTCAAGATATAGTCGGGTTCCACTGTATCGATATTATAGTTTGTAACAATTCTTATTCAGAGTATAAGCGGAATACGGTACAATGTTATACACGCATACCTTTTGCAGAACAACTATGAACCAGAGTGACCAGCACGAATAGACTTTTGAACAACATCCTGATCATCCTGACAAGTGGTTTGTCTGAAATTTAAACATCAAATCTGAATGCTTAAGATTCTTATTATTTGAATGCTTACGATTCTTTTAGCCTTCAGATAAGTTCACTGAATTGAAGAATCTCACCAGTGGTTGACATAGTGAGCTTTGGCATGCATTTTCCAACAATAATAATGAAGTCATCATTATTTTACAATAGAATTATGTCTTTGATATATCTACACGTCACAAAACTAGAAGCACGATGCATCTTTGAAACTTACCAGCTTTTCCCAAACTTTCTTCGCAACTTGCAATGTTGTTTTCACCTGTTCACTGGCAATTTGAATAAGCAACACAATTCTGCAGCTCTATTTATAGTCAAACGTTCCATTTCGAACTAATAATGAATTCTGCAAGTCCACCACCACGTCCAATTATCACGATATTGGTTTGAATAGCCGTTTCCGGAGCAAACCCTGTTATCACGTATGACTAATTGGTCTTTGTCACAGCGTTTATGCAAAACGTCCAACGATTATACCGAATAAGTAAGACACTGAGTCTAGCATAATTTCAATAAATAATTTACACATACATCTTCTTGATATATGTCCTCCTGAAATAATTTTTCTTTACTCACAGTATGAATATCAAGTTTGATCGGCTGCAATGATTGGAAATATGGATGAAAATTTCGGTTACCTGTAGTATTTCAATGTAGCACATACTAAATTATTTTCCTCCTTCGTAATACAAACATATATGTGTCTTAATTTCTGATCTTAACTTTCAAACAATTCACATGCATGGAAAATTTCTACATGATTCAGACAATCTCGTTGAATCATCTTGAGAGTCTTAAGACCTTGTTTCATAGATGATATATCACTAAAAGTTGCCTGGGCGTTGTTTACAACATTAAACTGAAAGAGAGGGGTGACAATGAAAATTTATTTTGTCAATGCGCATTTATAATTTTAAAATATTGGCTGCAACGGCTTCAAGGGCTCTGTCCAAAATTGTATGAAACACACTGAACATAATTGTACGTAAAATATTTATTTCACTCCGATAGTCTAAAAGATGGATTTTTACATCAAACCTGGTTTTTCGAGCAATATACCTTTTGTTTGCATAAAAAGAAAGCAATGTAATCCCTATTTGAACTTGTCATATCCTGAAATTGGCAAATGCTCAAACACATGATTTTTTCTTTCTGGTGTATCTAAAATATGTTTTTGCCCAAAGCGGTCCTGCACCTAATTAAATTATCTAAGATCCCGTTTACACGGTACCGGACGAATTTGGGACCGGACGAAAATTCGTCCTTTTTCGCCTGTTTACACGCGAATTCGTCCTGTTAGGGGGACTCAAATTCGTCCGGTTCCGTGGTTCTCGTGTGTTTACACGGCCGAAACGGACGAATTTTCGTCCGGTCATAAATTCGTCCGGTACCGTGTAAACGGATCTAAATGCCATGCTTAAATGGTTGCTATACTGATAGCCACTTTGTATCACAAGACTACCTTTCCCCGAAAACAAAATTAGCATACCCCTTACGATAAATTCCATGTTGAATCATGCTGCGCTTCAATTCTTAGACCCATGCTCCCTCAACTCAATATTGAGCATGTGGTGCCCACACAAAGTTAGGCATCGCTTTAAAATCGCTGCCTGAGATTGTTAGCTTGTTAGTTTGTTCGGAATCATAAACCTTGCAAGATATCTCTTGTACATGTCGGCCTTTGTGTACTTTGGGGTTCATAACAGGTGGGAAATTTGTCTGAGCATGCGCGAGTAAAATGAGTCACGCAATTGTGTGGAATACACGCAACGCGTGTTTACAAAAAGCACAATCGTGTAAATATTGCAAAATGTTTGTACAAAATAAATGACTGTTTTATGTTGAAAGAGTGAACATGTTCTAAATTAATCATACAGAACTTTTTAGTGACGTTCTATTTCAGTACCCTGCCATTGTCTCTGGTGGGCTGTCCGTGTGCATTCGATCTGAAACAGTTGCTACTTTGCTGTCGAAGAATTTCGAATGTTTACATGAAAATAGAGGCAAGTCATGCATTTTACAACCTCTTAAACTGCATGAGCCCCTATTTTTACGCTTATACCTAAGATATCAAATAAAAGTACATGAAACAGAGAACATTTGTAGAAAGTTTTATCGTGAGGCCACGGCCAGTTTTTAAAATATCTTTATTTCTGTTCCAGTCATCACCAAAATTACACAAAAGCCGGGCTTGAATATACAACAAATTTTGAATCTCATCAAGCACAAAAATACTTAACGTGTAACCAAAATATGCTCATGAAATCGAAATTAATAGCTAAATTTTCAGACTAGACCCTTCTCGAAGCGGTTTTCATGAAGGAAGTTCACATTTCGGCCTTTGATTCTTGGCAAAAATTTGACCACAACACGTGCGAAACAACTGGGTCTCAAAGACTGAACTAAAACATTGTGAGCCCCTATTTTCCTGACGATATGTTTGATACCTACAAACGCCGAAAACTTTTTTCTTTTCATTTAGCTATATTTGAAATTGAGGCCACGGGATATTTTTGAGAAAATACAGTTCAAAGTCAAGCTATTTTTACATATTTTCAAAATTTGTCAAATTTCGCGAGCTTGTATTTTGAACTTAGACAGCTGAAGTTACATTAAGAAACATAGGATGGAAAATTTGAGGCATATAAAGTTAATTTCAACTTACATTTCATTCTCAAATCACGTCTTTCTTCGTTTATTACGGGTTTAAACAAGCCATAGATCGACGTATACGGTATTTACTCCCATGTTCACGTCGCCATATTAACTTCTTCCAATCACTCGATTACAAAACAATCATCCCAAAACAAAGAATTCATGATCGACTTTTCAAAGAATAACCAATAATTTGTAAATCGTTGAATGGAAAGCAAAAAATCGTCAGCTAAAACAGCTTCTTGCTAACTTTCTGCTTTGTTTTGAATGTAAATGCAATGAGCTTTGTTTCTGCCCGCAATTGTTTGGTCAGCGACGACAAATTTCCCACCTGTTTGTAAACGGATTTTGCACATAGAGGTATAAAAAAATAAAAAATAGTCAGAAAAAATTAAAGGAAAAAGATGTTGTGAGTCTGCTACAAAACATGAGTTCAACTGGATTTGAACTCAAATGCTTATCGAGACAGGCTAAACGCCATACCACTAAGCCATCAGTGGACAACTTGTAATTCTGGTAAAATTAAAAACACAACTACATTGTTGTGACCTGTTCATGCCATGAGATGAATCTCATTTCGGGCGAAATGAAAAAAAAATTGTTATAGACCGACTGAGAAAGGTTCAAAACGAATATTGAGGCAGAAAGTTTTGGCACTGGGGAATTTTAAAGCGCATTTTGATATAAAAAATACTTAGCCGGGTTTAGCCGTGTTTTAATTTACTTTCTACTACGCTTAGCCGTTCGCCGTCTTCGTGCATCGAGGTGTGTCATAAGCACGCAAGAAAATTATGCAGTTTGGTCATCAGCACGCTCAAAGGCATATTACAAGATGTTGCTACATATATTGGGCGTGTTTATGAGATGTTGGTACATATATTGGGCGTGCTT